GGAGCGCCGGGAGCTTGTCCCAAGGAGTCCACAAAGATGATCCAAAAGCTGGAGCAGTTCTGCTCTGGGGACAGGCTGGGACAGTTGGGGTGTTCAGCCTGGAGAAGAGAAGGCTCCAGGGAGACCTTAGAGCACCTTCCAGTGCCTGAAGGGGCTCCAGGAAAGCTGGGGAGGGACTTGGGACAAGGGCAGGGAGGGAGAGGACAAGGGGGAAGGGATGAAAACTGGGAGAGGGGAGATTGAGGTGAGACATGAGGAGGGAATTGTGGAGTGTGAGGGTGGTGAGAGCCTGGCCCAGGTTGCCCAGGGAACCTGTGGCTGCCCCATCCCTGGCAGTGTTGAAGGGCAGGTTGGATGGGGCTTGGAGCAACCTGGGCTGGTGGGAGGTGTCCCTGCCCATGCAGGGGGTTGGATCTGGATGATCTTGAAGGTCCCTTCCAACCCAAACCAGTCTGGGATTCTACAAGAAGGGCCTCTTGGCAGCCTCACACAGCAAAGGGATACACCAACTCCTCAGGCCTGACAGGACCCCAGGCAGGGCACAGGTTGGGCATTCCCTCCAAACCTGTTCTGGGTTTCCCAAGTAATAAGGATGTGCCTCCTCTACTGAGCTGCAAAGCTTGGTTTGGGAAAAGGGGCTGGAAGAAACACGGGTCATTGCAAAAGCCTCACATTCACTGGGCACAAATCACCCTCCTCCTCCTTAAGATACTACATGTCCATCTTTTCCCGCAGGACATCAGTCCTGGCTCTAACACATGGTCACACTGCTCTACAGAACCTTGGTCCCTTCTGGCCCCACTGCCAACTCAGCTTCTACTTTTGATGCTTTTCAGGCAGTTTGGGTCCTACCCCAGCAGCTGCTGAAAGATGCAAGTCATGATTCTAATCTTTTTCCAAGGGGAAACCCCAAATACTCAGCCCTTCCTGGAAGGGTCAGCAATGGGAAGTCCTGTGTCCTTAGTGTTCCTCCTCAGTATTCCCAAATATGCTACCAGATCACTCAGGCATGTTGATACCAAAAGTTGGTCTGAACATTTCACTATTAAAAATAAAAATCCAAGCAGAGAAGAATCATAGCAAAGAGATTTGTGCAAGAGGAAACAAGGACTTGCCTTGATTTTCTTATCATCTGTTGCCACAGTCCCATCAGAGACCAAACCAGAAGTCATGGCCTGTTCCAGGAAGCTGTTCAATTTTTCTTCATCATGGGTTGAGTTGGAGCCTGAAGTTTCAATTAAAACATAAAAAGGGCTGCCTGGAAGTGAGGGAGAACAAGAATAAGCAGATGCTCTGGGGTAAAAGGAGAAGAATTTAGTGCAGGTTCTGGAGGTTTTCGCAAGCCTGGCACCTTTCACAAGGTCACTCTACTGCCCAGATTCCCTGGTGCCAGGTGGAAAGGCAGCCCAGGTGACAATCTGCAGAGCACTTCACCTCCCTGCTCTGCCCTTGTACCTAATCACTGCTTTTCAGGAAACCAGCAGCTTTGTGGGAACAAGTAGAAGGAAAAAGTCCTTCTCTTTCAAGGCTTCCACCAATTGGAATTGAATACAAACATGCTGAGGGATGTCCACACTCTCATTCACACACACACATATATATAAAAATCCCCAAGCAGTACAAAGCCTCTTTCTACAGCACAAATGACACTGGTACCTGTCACTGGGTTGGACAACTTGAGGTGTCTCTCCACCAGTTCCATGCACTTCTCATCCATGAACTCATAGGCAGACAGGATCTCTCCCAGCATGGCTCTGCAGGTTGTAAATGTTTCCAGAACCTTAGCAAAACTCTGACACCCTTCAAAAAGGACACAGAGAGGAATCAGGAACAAAGGAAAACAGCCCTCAAAAACGTTGTAAGAAGTTTTGAAAAGGTATATGAGGTTTCCAAGTCATCTTTCTCATCTCCAGAAAATGGGAACTACTGCCCCGTGTGGGTTTAGATCAGCAGTTCCTGTAATGGTTTGAGCTGGGGAAGGTTTCAGAGCAGGAGAGCAGAAGGATCTAGCAATGAGTCTTCAAGACCTCTTGAACACTCCAAGACAGTTCACACCACGTCACCCTCAGCTCTCAGCACAGGCAAGAAGGCAACCTAAGAGAAATGTAAAGGCCACTGGGAGAGCTGAGGTAAATTCTGGGGTCCCCTGCATGTATTCCACAGGTCTGTCAGCACTTGGAGTCTCCTCATGCCCTCCCAGGAGAAGCTCTCTGCTCTCAAGGCCACACCAGGCACAAATAAGCTGTTTGAGAAGTCCCTGCTGCCCTTGAAGGTTTCTGAGAAAAAAAACAAACAGCCTTGGTGAAGGCTCCTCACAAACACCTCTGCTAAAAAGTAGGCTCAGAAACAGCTTCTAAGCAGCTGTGCCTGGTCATGTACCCTGCTGATCCAGACCCTGGCCTGCAGGTTTGACTTCCCAGCCTTGCCTTGTCTCTGCAGACTCACCTGGTGACCACTGGATTGTGGCCACCTGCTGCTGCCAGACTCACCCTGCTCAGCTCCCCTGGGCAGTGTCAGCCCCAGCCCCTGCTAGTGAGGGTCCTGCCTGCTTCTGCATCTCCCTCAGCTCCTGACTCCCCTTCCTTTGCAGAGCAACCTGCCCTTGCAGGCATTTTACACATTTACACCAGGGATACAAAATACCTGGCCGGAGATTTTAACACACAGCATCTCCTTGGCAGCCTAGCTCAGCAGGCTGACCAGTCCTTCCTCCTTTCCATCCCAATTCCCTTCCCAGCTTCTTCATTCAGGTGTGAAATCATTAACAGCAGCTCTTTACCTAGAAATGCCAGATTCACAGCCTTAGGTTTCTGGGGACAGAGGATGGAGACAGCAGTGATGACTCCCAAGGTTCCCTCAGACCCAATGAAGAGCTGCTTCAGGTCGTAGCCCGTGTTATCCTTGCGCAGAGAAGCCAAACAGTCCAGAGCTGAACCATCAGCCAGCACCTGTAGGAACAGGGAGAACCCACTCAAACCCCTCTGTGGACACCTCCCCTCCTGAGCCTGTCCATGCCAAGGACCAAAACCTGCCACTGAGCAGTGGACACCAGCTGCAGCCCATTTCCACAGTCTTGTCACTGTTCCTCCCTTCCCAGCTCCTCCTCCCCTCTATATCCCACCTGAGTCTTCCCCCAAACTCTCCTGCTGCTTTTTTACACATGTTCCAGCATGTTGAGAAATAACAGAAGCCTGAGTTTCCTCTCGTTTTGTTTCCTTTTTACCAGTGGTGGAAAAGGCTGGAAACCCTTCACAGCTCTAGCTCCCACCAGTGAACTGAAATTATTTGAAACAGTGAACAAACTTCCCCAGAATGAAGTGACCCTCCAGCATTTGAGCCTTAAATCAAGGATTAATGTCTCTAAGATATGTTATTAAAGGCTGTTTTGACACTAGAGGGGCCAACCTGAGAGACAAAACCTCTCCCATCTGGGCCTACAGAATAAACCCTAACAACAGGCTTTTGTTATCTACCCAATTTCTGCCCTGTTAGTCTCTGCTTCCCAGCCCTGAAATCTTTTAGGAAAATCTCTCAGAATCCCAGCCTTTCCACACAGAGACACAGGCCTGTAGGGCAGGAGCAGGCTGAGGAGCAACAAAGACTAGGAGAAAGCCAGCAGCCAAACAAACCCAAAGCTCTGTTAAAATCCAAGTGAGCAGCCAGGAAAAGAGGATGAATTTAGCAGAGAGTTCAGAGAGCCACCGCTCCACCAAAGGAACCATCTCATGCAGGTAACCTGGGAACACCAAATCTCTCCCTACCTTCTTTTCACTTCTTTGGATTAGAAAACCACCTAATGCCACTTCTACCAGGGAGAGAAGAGGTGGAAACAAAACCAGATGCTACATGCATGAAGACACTTGGGCTTGTAGGGAGAGGACAAGGGGGAAGGGATGAAAACTGGGAGAGGGGAGATTGAGGTGAGACATGAGGAGGGAATTGTGGAGTGTGAGGGTGGTGAGAGCCTGGCCCAGGTTGCCCAGGGAAGCTGTGGCTGCCCCATCCCTGGCAGTGTTGAAGGGCAGGTTGGATGGGGCTTGGAGCAACCTGGGCTGGTGGGAGGTGTCCCTGCCCATGCAGGGGGTTGGATATGGATGGTCTTGAAGGTCCCTTCCAACCCAAAGCAGACTGGGATGGACCTGCCTCAAAAGAGCCATGCAAGGAAAATAATTGGAAGCCTGGGGAGGAACGTGGCTGCATGATGGATTGCCAGGGGCTAGAACTGCAGGCAGCAGGGTAAGAAGCAGAGGTTCCCAGCCAGAGGGAGCTGCCAGGTACTGGCCTTACCACTTCCAGCCCCAGCACTGTCCCCCGCAGGGAGCCGTACCTCAGCAGCCGCAGCCCTCCCGCGTTCGTCGCCACGTTCCCTCCGATGTGACAACTACCTTTTGCCCCCAGGTCCAGTGGCATGACAAACCCCTGCTCCTCCAGGTACTCCGAGAGTTTCTCCAAGATGCAGCCAGCCTGGCACACAAGGATTCCTGAAACATAAAGGTCCTGCTACAAGCTGATGCCCAAAGAGAAGGTGACTCCTCAAGGAGCAGGGTAAGTACAAGCAGGTGGAAGCAACTCTTCCTCCAGAACTTTCTGGGGTTGAATTTAAACACACAAGCAGTCTGTCCATGCTACAGGGCACTGTCCTACCCCTCCTCAAGCCAAGGGCAGCTTTGCCATTGCCTTAACATCTGGTCATTCCCCAGCTCTGAACTGGTAAGCCACAGAAACATGCAGTATCTCTCTGCCTGTCGTTCTCCCTCTCTGGGAACTGCCAGCCTGGCTCTGAACTCTCCAAATCCAAAAGACCTCTAGGTTTTCCCCATCCCTCCCTTCCCTCTGCTAGTGGAGTTCTGAGGTGCTTTCTCGCTGTCACTCTGCTCCACCTGCTGGGTTTCTCATGTAATTTATGAACAGATAATGGGATGTTCATGTTCCTCTTATCTCTTTCTTCCTCTTTCCACCACCACACGTGTTTCTACACCTGCTGCTGTTACAACTTAAGGGTTACACCAGCAGTGAGAGCCTGGGTGAAACAAACCTCTGACACCCCTTATGATGCTACTGGGCTGAACCTTGGTGATCCTGGAGATCCCAGGAAAAGGGCTGGTAGAGGGCCAGGGGCTCCTTTCTGTGCCTCAGGTCCCTGTGCTATTTACCAGACACCTTGTCGAAGCTGATGATCCGGTTCATGAGAGCAGTGGAGAGAATGATCTCATCAAAGACAGGCACACTGCCCCCAACAAGGCCTGTGTTCCCCCCCTGGGGGTTCACTGCCAGGTTCCTCTCAGAGCAGTACCTGGAAGGAAAAGGGATTCTGAAGCCTTACACATCTACCAGGAGAGCTGCACCTCCACACCCACGCCTACTGCCGGTGACCGTGCTCAAAGCTCTTGAAAATTAACTCCTTACAATGAAGCAGCATTTAGCCTAAGGATTAAACTGACACAAAGGGACAGCTTCACTGCCAAAGTGACAAAGCAGGACTCCTCACTGAACCCACCCAGCACCCTGCAAAGGAACAAGCACCTGGGGTTCCTCCTACAGACCTACCACCCTGTAAAACCTGCCTGGAAAGCGCAGCTCACCCTGTTTACAATTAAGCTATTTGTGTATCTGGGAAACACCTCCTCGGTGGGCTCTGACAGACAATCTTCAGCAGTGGTTTAACACCTTCCTGCCCTCCTCCTCCCCTCAGGAAATCAATACCCTGAAGGCAAGGAACCTTGTGCATCCAGGCCTCAGCTGCTCCACCCTCCAGCCTGCCCATCTCCCCGGGAAGCATCACCCATCACATCCTCCCCAGGCTGACAGAAGCTCCTGCACAACAGATGGCACCAAACCTCCCTGCTGCAGCCAGCTCAGAAGCCCTGGCTTGACTGTCCTCTCCAGGCATCTGCTTTCAACAGAGCCAGGAGCAGCAGCTTTTGGCTGCTGAAGCCAAATGGCAACCTTGCTTACACCCCTGAACCAAGGGAGGGTTCTTACCGACTTAATGGACAAAACAGCTCCTCAAATCACCTCATTCTGGCTTAAACTTCTTTACCTTTGCAGACAAACCCTCCTGAATCCTTCAACACAACTGCTCCCCTGGAGCACGAGTGCAGTGTCTGACTTTGACAATTTAGTAGAGCAGAAAAGCCATCAATATTGAAGTCACTTGCTTATTTCTGCCCCCAGTTCTCTCCTCCACACACGGTGCCCTCTTGAGACCCTTCCCATCAAAGCCATCAACTCTGATCTAGGGACTCTGCTGCTGCCCACTTAGAATTCATCTTTCCTGGCCAGATGTCCCTGCAAAGGCTATTTTGTAAAACAAACAAAAGTTTGGGCTTTGTTTCTGCCTGATATTGACACAACACCATGACCCCAGAAAAGCCAGAGGTCAAGGAGAGCCCTGGGACTCTGAAATACAAGGTACAACTGGCAGGGCCTTTGCTGCCTTGAAATAACCTCAGCTCCCCGCGTGAAAACTTTCCCAGTTAGGAACTTGGAGGCTTTTTCAGCCAAGCAACACTTCCCACCCATCAGTGCTGCTTGCCCCCAGCCTAGAAACAGCAGGAGGAGCTGGAAGAAAAGGTGTTTCAGGCAACATGGGCAGCTCTGGGGATATAAAGAGCAGAAGGGAGAGCTGAAGTCACCAGAGCTCAGCCACCAGGCAGGCAGTCTAGAAGAAAACATCTCCAGCAATTCAAACTGCTTAAGCAATCAGTGCCTGAAGACCTAAAAGTTCCCCCTTCACCTGTTGGACCCTCTCAGAATCAGCCCGAGTTTCCTCACCACAGAGCCCAGCAGAAAAGAGGGACCTTACCTGAGAACTTGAGACACCTCTGCTGTGGTCTGAGGCTTCAGCATCAGCTTGCTGCAGCCTGCAAGGAAAGCAAGGGACTCTCAAGGCAAGCTGTGGGCTCCAGAGGGGTCAGAAAGAAAGCAGGAGGTAAAGCACAACGTCTGAAACACAACACTCCCTCCCCTGTGAGGCAGAGGCACTTGGAGCACTTTTAAAACTGCTTAAAACCCTTTTCCACGGCGGGTTTTCCCTTCAAGCTCTGCACACACAGCCCTGGTGGCCAGAGGGGGGCGAGGGGAAATGTTCCACATCCTCACCAAACCTCTGGCAAAAGCAACAGGCGATTCCCACCAGTTTGGCTCTGCCAAAACGACAGGAACTGCCGAACGAACTGGATTAACGATGTAATTATCAAAAGGAATCATTTTTTATGAAGGAAAACTCCTTCTGCCCGGCCTGTAAAAACAGGGTGTGACAGAGACGAGGGGTGTTTTGTTTTTTTTTTTGGCAGCCTTTGAATTCAGGCGCCTGAGAGCCGCAAGAAACCC